TCTATGCGTGATAACTTAGAAATGAGGATAACCGCAGTAGAACCAGAGTAACTGACATAGCCCAACGGGTTAGTAAGCTGAAGTGGCAATGGGCCGGCCATATAGCTCGAAAAACCGACAACCCTGACGACTACAGCCCAGCAACGGCTCTGTAAGCTTGTTTTGACATAGAGTTTATATTAAATATATTATTTTACTAGAGTACCTACTTTAAATTTGTATAAAGTAACACTTTGATAATCGCCGCCACTCGGCTTGCTCGATCAAATTCTTTGAGGTTTGCCGCCTCACGAGCGACATATCAAAAGATTTATTGCTTCTCAATTATTCCAAACTAGTTTATTCCAGATTATTGCTTCATTTTGCGGGTAGATGACCCGAACGTTAGTTCAGTTCTATATGAGCTAACGAGGTGATAACTTGGACAAGCGATATCCTAGCGAACTGCTCGAGCCGTCAACTTGCTTTGTGACTTTGTGTGCATCTTGAGTGGTTACTAGTTATTAAGTTTATTGAACGAAAAGTAAACAAAAATGATGTATGATGGAAAGAAACGAAAAATAGATACAGAAGGTCGCTAGTTTCAAGAAAAATGGACTGAAGAATTATTTTTTATCTTGCACAATGTTAAGCCTATTTGTTTGCTGTGTAATGAATCCATTTCAGTAATGAAAGAATTCAATATAAATAGGCATTACTCAACTGTAACTGCAACTTATCATGCTTATGCTACGTTGCACTCACTAACAGGACAATTAAGAACAGAAAAAATCCAGAAGCTTACCGCAATTTCGGAAAAACAGCAACAAATGTTTCATAAACAAAGAACACAACTTGATAATGTTATGAAAGCTAGTTTTATACTTAGTTCAAATTGGCAGAGGCATTAAAACCATTTGCCGAAGGAGAATTTATCAAGGAGTGTATGTTATTATTTTGGTATTTTGTGTCCTGAAAAGAAAAATTAATTTGAAAAAATTAGTTTGTCAAGACGAACTGTTGTTCGACGTATAGAAATGATGGCTAATGATATAAAAACAACATTGACTGACCGTATGGCTGGTTTTGAATCATTTTCCATAGCATTAGACGAGAGCACCGATTTGTCTGACACAGCTCAACTGGCTATATTTATTCGAGGTGTTGATAAGGAGTTCACTGTTACTGAGGAATTGCTTGCTTTACAGCCGCTAAAAGGAACCACTACAGGAGAGCATATTTTTATTGAAGTTTAAAAGGTATTCACAAGTTTTGGCTTGCCGTGGTAAAAATTAATTGGAGTATGCACTAATGGTGCACCTTCCATAGTCAGCTTACGTAAAGGTTTCATCGGAATTTTGAATGAAAAAGCAACAGAATTAAATGTACAAAAAGATGATTTGATAGTCCTTGCATTATCCACCAACAGAACTTGTGTTCTAAGTCCATTCGACTCCAGAATGTTATGAATGTGGTAGTAAAAACCATCAACTTTATTCGATCCCGAGGGCATAACCATCGTCAGTTCAAGGCGTTTTTGGATGAAATATCAGCTGAATATAATGACGTAACATATTATTGTGAAGTCAGATGGCTGAGCAAAAGAAAAATGTTGAAACGGTTTTACGAGCTGAGAAATGAGATAGCAGAATTTATGAAAATAAAAGATAAACCACTATCTAAATTAAGTGACCCAAAATGGTTATGTGACTTGGCATTTCTGGTCGATCTTACAGGCTATTCGAATGATTTAAATTTGAAACTTCAAAAACAAGGACAGTGAGTAAATGATTTGTACAGCCATTTGAAAGCGTTTCAGATTAAACTACGGTTGTGGGAGTCACAGATGCTGTCTGGTAACAGTTACCATTTCAACACGCTCTCTGCGTATGAAAATATTGCTTATGCTCAATATGCTGAAGAACTCAAGTTACTGTCGGAACAATTTTCGCTAATTAGCGACTTCAAAAACATGGAAGACTGTTTCAGTTTATTTGCTACTCCTACAAAATATAATGTACAAAATGCTCCAATACACTTAGAAATGGAGTTGTACGAGATTCAAGAAAATTCACTTCTAAATTCCAAATTTGAAGACGTAGAGTTGTGTGATTTCTAAAAAAAATACCTAGAAGAAGACAATTTTCCGCAGCTTAGAAAATTCACAAGAAGATTGATTTGTGCGTTTGGCAGTACTTATTAATGCGAACAGTTCTTTTCATTGATGTAAGTTAATAAATCAACACATCATACAAGACTGACTGACGATAATTTGGAAAATTCTTTACGTATTTGTATCAGTGGAATTAATCCAAATATCGATGAATTAGTTTCCCAAATTCAAGCTCAAGTGTCTCATTGATTTCGGTGTATTTAACTTTCGTAGTTTGCAACAATTGCAAATTTAACGATTTAATTATAATGTATCATTTTATTTTATTTCATTTTGTTATTTTAATAAATAGTACTATAATAATATTGTCGTATTATTTCATGTCTAATATCTAAAGCAAAAACTATTATCACTACTTTAAAATGCACTAAGTACTTTTAAACGCGGCCCGCGAAAGTATTTGCACGCTAAAGTTAGATCCCACTGAAGCTTTGCGTCGAGAGTGATGCTAAGAAAAACAGTGGATTCAACAGGGCTCAGATCTTCCCCATTTAAAAACACATTGGTATTCAGATTTTCAATATTCGATGTTTTAAATTTAATATATTTAGTTTTATTTTCGTTTAAATGTAGATTATTAACGTAAACAACGCACTAATTTTGATATAGCATTATTCACTTCCTTTAATTTAAGTGATTGACGTTTATGTTTAAAAATCAAGGATGTATCATCAGCAAATAATTTTATATCATGATTATCCCCTACAGGAGTAGATAAGATAGGAATAGGCCAAGAATCGAGCCCTCACAGACACACATTATTACAGGTGACCCGGAAAAACTTTTACCATTGATAATAACTTTCTGTATTCTATTACTTAAATATGAAATAATAAGTTTAAGCGCTGTGTTCTTGACACCATAGTACTGTAGCTTCCTGATTAATGTCTCATGGTGAACACAGTCGAAGGCCTTGGAAAGGTCACAAAATATACCAAAAGCATCCTCTGAATTCTCCCATGCACAAAAAATATGTTTAATAAGCTCAACTCCAACTTCAGTTATCGAGCGATCCCTTGTAAAATCGAATTGATTTTTATGAAGCAATTTATCAATATTAAAAAATCTTAACATCTGATGTAATATTATTTTTTCAAAAATTTTACTAAATGTTGGTAGTACAGTAATTGATCTAAAATTGGCGGGGTCTAATGTACTACCAGATTTAAATATAGGTATAATGAAAGATCATATAATAGTAAAATCTGCATTTGAACGGAAATGAAACTAATTGTGTTAAATTTCCAACAACGAATGTTAAAAATCTGAATACCAATGTGTTTTTATTTATTGTTATTAAATGGGGAGGAATTGAGCCCTGTTGTATCTACTGTTTTTCTTGGCATCACTCTCGACGCAAAGCTTCAGTGGGGCCCCCATATATCCAAATTACCAAACAGACTAAGTTCTGCAGCCTATGCTGTAAGAAAGATTAGAGGTCTCACTAGTGTCGAGACAGCTAGATTAGTTTATATCAGTTATTTTCATAGCATAATGTCTTATGGGATTTTGCTATGGGGAAATGCGGCTGATTCAGAAACTATTTTTGTTTTACAGAAGAGGGCCATTAGAGCTATTTACAATCTTAAACCGAGAGAGTCTCTTAGAGATAAATTTAAAGAAATAAATATATTAACTTTGGCCTCTCAGTATATTTACGAAAATTTAATGTATGTTCACAAAAACAAAGATAGTTTTAGTAAAAAAGTGATATACATTCTGTAAACACTAGGAACAAACACAAGCTAGTGATGCCAGTTTCTCGACTCCACAGAGTCAGTAATTCATTCTTGGGGCAATGTATACGCTATTACAACAAGGTCCCGGAAAGTGTACAGGTTCTCTCTATTACCAAGTTTAAATGTTTTATTAAGCTGAAACTGTATAAAAAGGGTTATTATAGTATAAATGAATACATGGTTGATAATAACCCCTGGGAATGAGATGGTCGCTTCCAAGGAGTTTCTAAAATAAATTTTGTAAATAGTTCGTAATCATTTATATTGTAAAATTTATTTTTTTAAAAAGTCCCGCTGGGTTTCTTGCTGATTCTTCCCAGGACAGAGGGTTTTTTTTCGAACCAGTGGTAAAGTAAAAAATGACTTTCAATAAGAATTACACATGTAATGTATATTGAATAAAAAATTATTCTATTCTATTCTAAAAGCTCGAATAACCTTCGCCTACTTTTGTAAATTCCTACTGTCGCCCATTCATTAAATGATTTGTGACTGTTAAAAGAGAAAGTTTTAGAAGTAAATATTCTAATAAATTCACAACTTATAGTTTTAAAAAACGCACCATACAAATAATCAGCACTATTTTTAAATGAAGGTGGTGGAAATATTTTTATTATATTACTTCTAAACCTCTCCAATTATCTTTTTTTTTTTTAATTTATTAAGCATAATTATGTTACATTATCCAGTACAATACTAGCATATAAACCTCTAGGGGTTAATCTACACTAGAGAGTCGTCTTATAAAAACAAAGATGTATTAATATTAAATCACAATAATCCAGTATGAAGTACTTACTACAATAAGTACGGTTGATTTATCAAACATGATTTAAGTTTACTTTTAAACAGTTTTGATTTACCGTATGTGTTTTGTAGTTCTAGTGGCAAGGCATAGGTAAAAGATGGGCCAACTTTCTTGCTCCGTAGAAATTTTTAGTTTTCGGAAGTACATACATGTTGGATTTATAAGCTATATTTCGTAGATTTACAGGTCGTTTTCTAAGAAATAGGTATTCTGAATTATTTACTTCAGTCAGTATATTAAATTTAACTCTAAAAATATAGTAATTATTGAAATTACTGATAAACAATAAAACAAACACTTTAACGATATTTTTCTTTATTTACTATTTAGATAAATAATGTTTAACATATAAATAAAAAATCCATTTTCTAAAATAAGATCAATAATTTATAACTAAAAACAAAATAAAGGGTCCGATATAAAATTATCTATTTGGTTATTTTTTACACTAACCCATAAATTTATCTGTCGTATTAGATGCTGGTATTCGCGATTAAGCTTTCACAGCTGCAGTTAGTTCCTTTTCGTATTTAGCCGAGTGTTTATGAGTAGGGTCATATTTCGCGGTAATCTGCTGCCAAAATTCTTTTTCATGGTTAATCAGGTGTCCAATTACTTTCCGAGTGCCTTCGCGCTGTTTTTCTGTGCATTTAGCGCAGTCGTTCTCGACGGCCTCCGTGATGTGAGCTGCAAGAAAATGCGAAGGTGGTCAAGTCACTTATAAAATATAATGTATCAATGTCGCAGATGTATAAATAAATTTTATTAAAAATGCTAAGGTCGTATCTTGATTGATCGGTACGACAACGATGCAACATTCGCCTTGTCGATTACCGATGTCGATACGGCGTAATGTCTCTTGGTTTATCGATATTATTCGACGTGGTATGCCACACTTCATTTTTGTAACAATATCATCATGAAGTATAAAAGAGGCTATATTTTTTTTATAAATATGATTTTTAAACAGGAAGAGGTATGGTAGAATAAATGATATTTAGCTTAACTTGGCGGCGTTGCATTCTTTGTAAATAAGAGTTTGCCTCTTAAATAAAACTAGAACATGTTGACCTCCATATATGCAAAAGTACTAATTATACACATTATTATTTTAATGAATTTAATTTCAAAATTAGCACCTTAACAAAAGAAATAAAGAAACAAAACAGATATAGAAGCACGTATTTATAATACACATTTCCTTAAGAAAAAAAAAACGCTCCTTCGTATAACAAAATAAATATGATTTTTGTAACGTTTGCAATGAACCGGTCCACCTTGGAGTTAGTAGAAAATAGCACAATAGTGGAAGGTATAAGAAGGAAGGTAAGTATAATATTACAATGGTGGGATATTCTGATATATTAACCAGATTACATAATATAATTACGTTATATATTACAATGGTTCTGTTTTACATAATTCGTGACGTAATTGATTATCTGCATCAGAATTACGTTTATTAACTGAAAGCAACTCGATGTAGAAGTAGATATATATTTAATAACGTATACAGTTTATATATACATATATATATATATATATATATATTACATATGATGAATAGGTTTTTAAGATATTTGTTGCTGTACGTTGTGTCGGAACTACCGAGCTAGAGAACCGAGGTTCATATTAGCGTAGCGTAACAGGTCGTATTCATATTCTATCTTCTTCATTTGCAATAGCAGTCTACTGTTTTACGTGAGCATCTTCTATATGATCAAAAAATTGCCATAAGAGGCACGCTTGGCAGATTCTTAATCACAATACCGGACGCCTGGCACCCTTAACGCTGCTACATCGCCGATCTTAGTATCTATTTTAAATCTATATCTACATTTAAGGCTATACCAGACGTTTATACAACTATGTATGGGAAGCTATGTATTATATAGTAATATAGTTATATAATGTATTAAAACATAACTAAAACAAGTAAAAGTGTTTATCTAAATCACAACATTACACTTTATATTGTGGAGCCTTAAACTAGCACTGTTACCGTTACTGTTACTGCCCACAATTGAACATAGGGCTTCCGTATAGATTGCCTCTTAAGGGGGGTGTATCTTATTAGGCGATTGCTTACGACACCCACGGTACGATATGGTTCAGTGGATATTCTTACACTGCCACTACACTGTTCATGCGAATCTTTAAAATTAGTTCTTTATGGGTTAAAGTTCGATAAATGTAGGAAAGAACATTGTGTTCATTTTATACTTTTAAAGAAAAGATACACAATTATAATGGTCACAATATGAAAACAACTTACATTTAAGCTCCTTGCCTTCGGGTGTACATTTTCCTTTGTCGAGTATGCAGTGGACGTAAGGAATAAGCAAGCGGCGGTTGGATAAGATTTCATCAAGATTGATGTTGTCGTAACGATCAGTGTACGTTCCCGAGGGTACAGCTGACACGTACGCCAGAACAACCAGTAAACACAATGCCAGGAAGCTCTTCATTCTAAAAAATATATACAAATATAGTTTTTTCATATAATAATACAAACGAAATAAAAGAAAACATATTAATGAAATGATAAACTACAACATGAGCATTATAATGAATTCAAAAAAATATCTAATTTCAAACAACAAAACCTTTTATACGTATATTTATTTTTCTTTAATAAAAAATAATAAATACCTTAATAACTTTGAGGCTAGGAGTTAACTTGACAAACGCTAAAGTTAATTTAATTCCGAGATCCCAAACGTTGACATTTTATACTTAATTAAGATCGTATTCTTGGACGTCACGGCCAATCACGTCAGTGTAATGAGTTTTTTTTTAACTTTAATAACCCAGTGGGGATGAAGTTCATTTTCTTGGAAGAAATAAGGTAAATACTATTATTCTGCATAAACTGAGTCATAGAGTCATATACGCTTATTGTCGCTTCTGTTCTTAGTGTAATAACGGTGCTAGTGTTCAATATTTTTTAATCATTATTTGTTTAAAGATTATGATTAGAGTGTTCAATTTTTTTAAATTATTATATGTTTAAAAAAATATTGAACACACTTGGTTGTTTGCCAAGCGTGACAACTATGGCAAATATCCTGTAATGGTATTTGAACTAGAAAGTGAATACGATATAAGAAGTGGTTTGTTAGTGGTGTAATTGTTGTAAATTTTTATTATATTATTATTTATCCATCTTAGTCCTCAGAGGTGACAACGTATCTGCATTTTGATTCTTAATTAAGGATAAATGTCGACGTCTATGGGCCACAGTATCCACTTACCATCAGGTGCACTGTGTGCTCGTTTCTCACCCTTATTCTATATACTATCGTCATCAAATTCCGCCGGGTCAAACTGTCACCAAAATTCTCATAAATTTTGTAATGTGACGCATCCACATATTGTAAAGAATTTAGAGCTTAGAAAACTAGGCAGTATGGTAATAAATAAATATGGTCTTATATTCAATAAAAAAAAACAACAACTACAGGCTTTATTATTCTGATGATTTCTATACCGATGACTTCTATACCCCAAAAATTTTATTTTTATTCCTTGGTGTAAATTTAAAAGAAATTCTATTAAAATTTGTAAAAATTACAAAGTAAATGTAGTATACAAGACGGAGGGCATAACAAACAGTAATTGTTTTCTACCGACTTCAAAAAGGAGACGGTAAGCAATTTGACTATATATTTTTTATGTGTGTTACCTCATAACTTTTTTCTGGTTGAACCGATTTCGATGCTTCTTTTTTTATTTGAAAGCTGGTGCTTCTCATGTGGTCCTGTGGTCTGACTAATAGTGTTTAAGTTATTCTTAATAATTTAATATTGAAGTCGGTTGTACAAAATTATTAATTTTAAATTATTATCAATACCATAGAAGTCATCGGTTAATAATTGCAATGGCGGCTGTCAGTGTGTTTATATAAACTTTTTTTTGTTTCATTTTATTTATTAAACATTTGTCCGCTAGGTTGCTCCAGTGCATATTGGCAAACTTCACGTCTTATAAATATATTTTTTTTCTTATTATTTATTTCGAATATTTTTTTATATCTTAGACATGCAGATTTCCTGACGACGTTTTCCTTCACCGCCGAGCACGTGGTAAATCAGCACTTAAAATTGCAAGTAACAATTTAGTCGGTGCAGGCGGGGATCGCACCCGGGTTTCCCGCGTACTGTGAAATTTACAACAAACGCTTAGCCCCTAAGTTATCACGCCTCAATAGCCTGAACAATAATGGAATTTAATTAAAATCAAAAACCAAAAAGTAAAAACAAACTAAATTTTAAACGAAAAACATACGAAATTACTCCAGTGATATAACAACAGGTTTGAGATTTGACTTTAACGTTATTTCATGTCGGCTTTTCATTTAAAATTAATCTAGCCTGTGTTCATGATCAGGTCCGAAACAAACGAAACATATAATAAATTAAAGTTACAATAATGATAGTTATTATTTTTGATGATTTATCTTTTGTTATGGATAGTTATTGTTAGATAAAAATTTAGTGTCGCGGGTTTTTCTTTGTGATTCTTTGAGAAGAACAATTCCAACATATATTATTTTCACATATTTTTATCTACATATATCTACGGAGAGCGCGCTATGAGAGTTCTCATGAGGCATGATTTACAACTATCATTATAGTTGGCTAATTTGCAAAAAATATTCATAAATTGTATACTAAAAGATCCTCCTTGTGAATCAATTTGTATAAGAAGATAAAATAAAAATTTCTTTTTTAACAAAAATTGCTGACGCGACGAGGGATTTTCATTTAAATATAAATTTCTATCCATCAATCTATTACAGCGTATAAAAATCCACAGCTGGACATAGATTCCGTCATAGGGGAGACATTGCCATAGTTGCCACGCTTGGCAGGAGGGTTAGCAACAGTTTTTTTTTATTAATTTGAGATTTTTAGGGTGATGGCACTTGGTGGCGTGATTTAATTTAAATCTGTGTCGCTATATTCCCCACCTAACTACGATTTCCACGAAGTGCGACGAATGTGTCGATACAAGTCAGCAGATTATGATGAGATGCGGCATTTCTTTGCATCTTATCCTTGGCGGGGTCTGCTTCTCCTCTGACGACCCGTCGAGCTGCGCGGATGCCATAACCAATGTGATACGTCAAGCAATGGAGTATTTCATCCCCTTTGCTGACGTGCCCATTGGTGGTAAAGCTCGCCCATGGCTTAACGCAGAGTGCGTTCGTCCTGAAAAGCACAAGCATATGGCGTACTTATCCTGGGTCGATGCTCGAGACCGTAAAGCTCCGGATGTTAGCCTTAAGAAGAGATCCTTTAACCAAGCCACCCAGTCCTGCAAAACGGCATTACGCCAAGCCAGTTTCGACCGCATTAAACGTATCGGCACAAAACTCTGTAAAACCATCTGGTAGTAGAGCTTTTTGGTCTCTCGCCAAAACGGTCGAGACAAACTTCTGTCGGTCTACACTGCCTCCGCTGGTAAAAACATATGGCTCACTGGCGCATGACCCTAAGGAAAAAGCGGACTTATTTGCTTCTCTTTTTGCTTGCAATTTGCGTCTGGACAGTAGCAACAGCGTACAATCTCAATTACTTCACTGCGGTACCTCTATGACAGAGATCCGTATCACCAACAAGGAGATTCTTAAAATCTTGCGAAGTCTAGACGTGAACAAAGGTAGTGGACCTGATGGAATACCAGCTATAGTTCTAAAGGCTTGTGCACCTGAGTTGTCTCCTGTATTGACACTCTTGTTCCGCCTCTCATTCAGGACTGGAATAGTGCCCAAATCTTGGAAACTGGCCAATGTGCAGCCTGTGCCTAAAAAAGGTAACCGTACCGACCCTGCCAACTAGCGCCAATTTCAATTACCTCAATACTCTGCAAGATTATGGAGCTTATATTGAACGCCCACCTCATGGCATACCTACAGCAAAATGGTCTCTTCAGTGATCCCCAGTTCGGGTTTCTGGCTGGCTGGAATCGATCAACTCGGGACCTTCTAGCGTATACCACTCACATATGGGGCGAAGCCATCAAGGACAGTGGTGAAGCACTTGCTGTTTCCCTCGATGTTTCAAAGGCCTTTGACAGGGTTTGGCACGTTAGTCTATTGGGCAAGCTTTCAGCGTACGGCTTATCCCCTGGCCTGATTACCTAGGTGAAGGACTTTTTGAGTGAACGAACTCTCCGGGTCGTCGTCGATGGCTGGTCATCCGGTACTGGGGCGACTAACGCCGGTGTTCCTCAGGGATCCGTTCTCTCCGCAACTCTCTTCCTGCTACATATAAATGATCTGCTCATTCCCGGTATCTATGGTTATGCTGACGACAGCACAATTGTAGAGAGATACCAACTAAGTGCCCGGGCCAGTCGGGATCAAATCCAGTCAAAAAGAGAAGCTATGGTTGAGCGTGTGAGTCTTACACTACAGGCAGTCTCGGAACGGGGCGATGCCAATCTCATGAGATTTAACGCCTCCAAAACACAAGCGTGTCTTTTTACCGCTAAAAGGAGCCCGGTCACTTTGGCTCCTACTTTCCGGAATGTATCCTTGGAGTACACTGATCGCTTTCAGTTGTTAGGGATTGAATTTTCTCCGAACCTAAACTATGGGCGGTTCATTGAGTCCAGAGCCAAAGCAGCCGCAAGGAAACTTGGTGTCCTTGCAAGGGTGCGGCGGTACTTCACGCCGGGGCAGCTTCTTACCTTATATAAAGCGCAAGTCCGGTCGGCATATGAGCTGGTGCTTGCTGCAAAATGCCACCTGGCAGCATTGGACTCAGTGGAGAGACGTGCTAAGAGGCTCATTGGTGACCTTGATTTGGTTGAAACCAATCTTGTCAGCCTCGAGCACAGGCGCAGAGAAGCCAGTCTCTCGGTATTCTATAGGATGCATTTTGATGAGTGTGCGCAGGAATTACACGCTTTAAGTCCTCCCTCTCCTTTCCACCATCGGACAACCAGGCGGTCGGCGGGTCTTCATCCCTTTGTTGTCGATATTCCACGCATTAGAACCAAACGGTTTGCTTCGTCTTTTGTAATGCGTACAGCAAAGAAGTGGAATAATTTGCCGGCATCCATCTTTCGGTCCGAATGCAATCTGGGCGTCTTCAAGGCAAGAGTGAATAGGCTTTTGTCCCGATAAGACAGTGCGATTTACCATCTAAGGCACACTTACCACCAGGTGGGATTGTGGTCAAGCACTGACTTATAATAAGTTTAAAAAAAATTTTTTGCACAAAAGCCTGTCTGGGTTGTGCTTACTTTATACCTATTTCCATCGCTAATCATAACACCCACTACTGTGTTAAGGTTTTATGGATAAAAAGTCAGTGAAAAGCATTTTTTCTTAGTAGTCAAGCTAGAAACGTATCTGTGTCCTTATTTGTTTGAATTTATTTGCAGATCTCTATCTATTCTTCTATTATATGCTATAGCCACTTATCATCAGATGGATACTATTAGGTTGTTTGTCACTTTAACAGTTTTAAAAATAACCAAAAGAGCTATTGCTAAGAATTAACTCATTACTGAGATCCAAGAAATGGGTTCCAAGAAATGTGTCTCAATACTATGGGATAAAACCAGTCTTCTCGGACTATTTAGTGGGCTGTTTAAAATGAGAGGACATTCATAAAAACAAAAATTTCTCTATGTGCTCGAATCCTAATATTCACTTAGGAAAATGATCTCTTTGGACGGACCAAGTTGAC